GCAGAGTAGAGTAGAGTTGAATAGAGTAGAGGATTGTAGAGTTGAATAGAGTAGCGTAGTAGTAAAATAGGGTAGAGTAGAGTAGAGTAGAGTAGGGTAGAGTAGAGTAGAGTAGAGTAGAGTAGACTTCAGTAGAGTAGAGTAGAGTAGAGTAGACTTCAGTAGAGTAGAGTAGAGTAGACTTCAGTAGAGTAGAGTAGAGTAGAGTAGACTTCAGTAGAGTAGAGTAGAGTAGAGTAGACTTCAGTAGAGTAGAGTAGAGTAGAGTAGACTTCAGTAGAGTAGAGTAGAGTAGAGTAGACTTCAGTAGAGTAGAGTAGAGTACATCCGAAAGAAATGTAGGGTAAAGTAGAGTAGAGTAGGGAAGAGGAGATTAGAGTGAAGTAGAGTAGAGTAGGGAAGAGGAGATTAGAGTGAAGTAGAGTAGAGTAGAGTAGGGTAGAGTAGAGTAGAGTAGGGTAGAGTAGAGTAGAGTAGAGTAGAGTAGAGTAGAGTAGAGTAGAGTAGAGTAGAGTAGGGTAAAGTAGAGTAGAGTAGATAAGAGCAAAGTAGGCTTCAGTAGAGTAGAGTAAGGTAGAGTACATTAGACTTTAGTAGAGTAGAGTAGAGCAGATAGACTTCAGTAGAGTAGAGTAGAGTAGACTTCATTAGAGTAGAGTAGAGTAGACTTCAGTAGACTTCAGTAGAGTAGAGTACATCCGAAAGGAATGAACTACAGAAAGCACAAAAGGCAAGCAATTACCATTCCCATCATCTACGGCATCGCACTTAACACAAGTTGCACTGTGAGGCGTCGTTCATCATGCACTGGTCAGCATGTGGTAGGACGGCGCACTTACCCGCAGCTTATCCGTCGTAGGTGCAAATGACGTGACGGAGTCTCAAATTAGGGGGATTGAGTAAAGAAATAACTTTTCCACCAGCAGCTGCAGCTGCAACCAAGCCGACAATCCTTGAGCGCCAGCAGCATGAATGAAAATAATTAAAGCAAAAGGAAAGCAGAAGCAAAAGCAGAAGCAAAAGCAAAAAAAAAAATAGGACGAAAAAAAAATAGGAAAAACTTTGCTGCGTCTCAAGTGTCAACGGGCGAAAAGTTTCTCAAGCTTTGCGCAAAATTTATAATTCGCCGTCTTGCAACTTAAAGTCCAACATCAATCTGGAGCATGCAAATGTCAAATGTAGAAGTTCAGACATACACAAATATGTCAATATATATGCATATATATAGTAAAGAGTCGAAAAGTTCAAGTTTAAAATGACTTTAGCATTCGTTCAATCTTAGATTGATTTTACTTATTCACGAACTGGATGAGTACATTACTTTCCGTCCGTTATGTGCCTCCGTCCGTCAGTTTTCAGTCTGTGTGCGTCCGTACCCGCGTCTTATGAAATGTTGAGTTTTTTCCGATGATTTTCCCTAATTTTCCCTAATCGATAAATCTAACCTATCTATCCGGGGACCTGTATAATCCCCGGATTGTTAGGTTATAACAGCTATCACAGTATTTCCTACCACATGAAGTGTTAATTAAGTGAAATTTTCGGTACTGCCCGACTGCAGCATTCTCTCTTGCTTACACTTACTTAAGATCATATCGATTAAGATGGTTCGTTGAAGTTTCATAACATTCCAGCACCCGAAAGTGAAGCCAACTTTGTGCATATTCACTTGAGGCGTCTTATATCAAATGGATAACGATAAAGTTTGACAGAATCCAAATTTAATGCTTCCACTTTAAGCAATACGAGCAAAGTGGAAAAGGTGATGCAGCATTTTTCTTAAAGTTCTTCCATTCTGCTGTTTTTCATCAGAGCTCATTGTAAATTATCGATGCAGGCGAAACAACAATTTGAACTCCCTGCGGATGGGAAATGGCTTGGAAAAGTCTCTCGCTCTCTCTCTGTCGGACGGAAACTTGTTCAATTGAAAGCGTCAGCATCTTGCGAGTCATCAATATTTCAATTAATTTCGCACCTTGGGGAGTTGAGTTTTTCTTCTTAATGCGCCCGCGAGTATGCAACGCGCTGTGGACGTGGAGTTGCATACTTTTAGGGCGCACTGTGGAGCTGTGAGGCAGTGCAGGCTGGCGTAAGAATGGCTGAAATATGCCGGGATTATAAACTATATATATATAAGCGGATCTGATGTAAGTGTGTGTGTGCATGGGTAAAAGGGGTGTGTGTGTGTGTGTGATTGTCTTTCTCAGTGTGTGAGTGTGTGTGTGTGTAGTGAGGCTTGTTTGTTGTTTAACTTAAGTGTGACAACTCAACAGTTTGATTGATTGGCCTTAGGCGCCATGACAACTAAATCATTTTAAAATGCGCGTGTCTGTGAGTGTGAGTGTGTGTGTGTGTGTGTGTGCGGACGTAATTCGATTGGCAAATACTAAAGTGACTAGAAGGCGAGCAAGCGACAACCGAAAACGAATAAACATTGAGCACAAATTCAATTTTATGCTTTCTTTATTTACTTACTTATGCATATGCATGTATTTATACCCACGCGCACACACACACACACACACACACGCACTGACATTTATCTATACCTGTATGTGGGTGTGTTGATTGAATTTGATTTGAGAGCGCGCACGCAGCATCTTTAAGTCATCTTAACAGTCAGCAACATAAATCCAAACACACGATTTGTGGATCTCACATAGCTTTAGCAACAGCTCCTGTTCCTGTTCCTGCTCCTGCTCCTGCTCCTGCTGCTGCTCCAGCTCATGCTCCTGCTACAGCATTCGATTTCAAATCTAGCTGCTTGATTTGGTCGACGTGTTGAGCATATTACGTATACGACATGTTCGCGCGCCAGCTAAGGAAAACATAAATAAGTATGCGTAAGTATGCGTGGCGCTGTGACAGCCCCAAATTTATAAGCGTCAGTTGGGCGATAAAATTTGATTGCCGCAAATAAAAACGGTTTGGGGGGCGTCTGGGCGTATGGGCGGCCGGGAAAACAAGGCATAACAAGCATCAAGGAGCCAAATACCACAAAATTTGTATAGCCGGCCCTAATACAAACGAACCCCATTACAAACGTACACGGCAAATGCCACTGGCTACAACAACAACAACAGCTACAGCAACATCAGCCAGAGTCCAAACTCGATGACATATGGCCGAAATGTGTGCGTGCTGTTTAAGTTAAGACCCCGTTTGCGTTTCTATGATTACAAATTTAAGCAGCCAATCCTACATATGGCCCAAAGAACATCAATTCGAGCTCTCCATTCGGCTACCTACCTCATCGCCAATAGACGTAACGCCACCCAGCCCCATCCCAGGCAGCCGACACGTTCCACTTTATACGTATGTGTGTGTGTGTGTGTCTGCTGCTCATATGCCAGCAATTTGGTAATAGAAGCTGGCACGACAGCCCCAATTTTAATGTGCAGCGTTTTACAACACTTGATTGATAAATTTGGCACTTAAAACTGATGTCGAATCAGATCTCTTCCCCGATTGGGGAATACTAATATAATATCTAACTACATACATACATAGAAATGTATACGTACTACTACTGCTCATAAGATACTAAAAGGGAATATTTTACTACTACTCTATTACAACTCTTATGCTTTTATATGATACTCTGTAATATTATTCTACTACTCCCACTACATCTGCTACTATTTTACTACTACTCAACTGTTATTCTACTACTACTTCGACGACTCCTCTACTACCATTCTTCTACTACATTACTATTATTCTACTAATACTTCTGGTACTCCTCTATTATTCTACTCTCTACTACTATTCTACTACTACTCTACCAATATTTCACTACTCCTACGACTCTACTCTACTACTGTTCTACAGCCATTCAACTACTACGTCTACGACTCCTCTGCTACTATTCTACAGCTACTCTTCTACTCCTCCAATACCATTCGACTATTATTTTTCAATTATTCTACTCCTCTTCTACTATTCATCTACGACTATTCTACTACTACGATTCTACTACTCTTCTACTATTTTTCTACGTCTATTCTACTATTACTATTCTACTCCTCTTCTACTATTCTTCTACGACTATTCTACTACTACTCTACTACTATTCTTCCACTACTTTTGCTATTATTCCACAACCACTCTACTTTGACTGCGTTACTACTCTGCTACTGTTCAAATACTACTCTGCTATTACTTTTACTACAACTTATACTACTATTCTACTAATACTCAACTCACACTCTATTACTACCTCTGCTACTATTCTATTGTAACTCTCTTTCTAGTTTACTATTATTCTAACACTATTCTCATACTACATCTACTACTATTCTATTTCTAGTTTCTTTCTACTGTACAATTATTCAACTAATATTCTTCTACTTATTCTACTAATACTCTCTTTCTGCACTACAATTGTTGAACTACTATTCTATTAGTACTTCTACTACTACTCCCTTTGTACACTACTACTACTACTACTATTGTCCAATGAGGATACTTTCAGGCAGACTTCATGTTATGAATGCTTAATGTGCTTTATAAGCAGCGCCTGGCTCTGCTATTTATATAGACAATAATGGCATTGACTTTGCATACCAGGGGTATTTTTATCCGGGGGTATTTTGTCGGCTGGGCCCTTCTTTGCCTTTGTATTCAAGTTAAAAAATGTGCCCATTTAATAGAGAATTTGATAAGCAGACACACGCTGTCCTTTTTCCCTGCATTTCATTTAATTAAATTATATCTTAAGCTTTCGTGGAATCCTTCAGAAAAATGAAACAAACAAAAGGCTCTCCAGATGCAAAGCCAGCGTCCACCTTAGTATCCCTAATTATATATAGCATAGCGAAATACACTGTAAGCAAAGCTCGGGCACGTTTTGACAGTTATGTAAGTGTCAAGAGAGTCTATAAAAAAAATGTATATATATATATATATATATATATATATATATATAAAATAAAGAAAAACAAAAGGAAACTAAAATGAAATTTCGTAAAAATAGCTTTTCGTTTTCTCTGAATCCCCAGCTGCCTCTGTGGCCGTCTCCTCCTGGACCCTGGTGGCCATCAGCTGCGAGCGTTATTATGCCATTTGTCATCCGTTGCGGTCGAGGTCCTGGCAGACAATTAGCCATGCCTACAAGATAATCGGATTCATATGGCTGGGTGGCATTCTGTGCATGACACCGATAGCCGTATTCAGTCAATTGATACCAACGAGCCGGCCAGGTGAGTGCGTTGCTGTCGATGGCCCACTAAGCAGCTGTTGTCGAATTTGTCGCAGGTTTCTGCAAATGCCGCGAACACTGGCCCGACCAGGGCTACGAGCGTTTCTATAATATTATGCTGGATCTCATTCTGCTCGTGCTGCCCCTGCTGGTGCTCTGCGTCGCGTACATCCTAATAACACGCACTCTCTACGTGGGCATGGTTGTGGGCAAGGATGTGCGCACATTGCCAGCGAGCAGTGGCAGTGCCCAGACGATGGCAACGGCGGCGATAAGCGCTACGCCTGGCAGCAGCAGCTGCGTTCTGGTCCTGAATGTAACGGCCGACTACAATGGTAAGTGGCGCGGTATATTCAGCCCTACAATCCCCAACAACCCACTCAGCACCACCCCTGCCCCATCATAAAAACCGAATTGCACGAAAACAAATGCGCATTTTATGCTCAAATTTTCGCAGAGAGCAGCAGCAGCAACAACAACAACGCAACGCGAAGCACAACAACAACAACAACAGCAGCAGCAGCAGCAGCGGCAACAGCAACAACGACACTTACAACGACAACAACAACAACGACATTGACAACCGTTACGCCGGCAAAGACCCCAACCGCCTCGCCGAGTCTACGCATCCACGACGCGGCGCTGCGCAGGTGAGCTCCGTCCAAATAACCCTTAATCCCCGGCTAAGCCCAGTCCAGACCGGCCTAGCCCTTAGCTGCGTATTATCATATATTAGTCATGGACCCGAATTTCCGAATTGGCATCGCCATAGCCCAGCACTTAGCATAATTAGCTAGCCGAACCAGCGAGCCATCTCGCTTATCTGCTTACCAGATATTAAGAAACATTCCAATGAACGCGACTCTGTCGAACGAAATTATGAACGACTTGAGAAGCTGAATCTAAATGAACTGAATCTTCACGCTGCACAGTGGGGCAAAGAGATGCATTTTAATGACTGTACATGGATACATGCATCTAATAGGGAATTGTACAGGGAGTCAGAATCGAAAAGGTTTCTTAAAGTCATAAGCAAATAAATAATACTAATAAATTTGATATATTTTGTATTATTAATTTAAATATCAATTTTTTTTATTTATTTATTTATTTTTTTTTAAATGAGAAACAAGTATAACTAATATACAGAAACAAAAATGAATTGGAAATTAATGAAGGTTAAAGGTATTAAACAATACGATAGTTTCTGTCGGGACACTAGGTGAACGAATACACTTTACTTTGTTGGTGTTTAGTATCGTATTGATCTTTATTCTTCTGAGCCTGGGTTTATATACCCAGACTCATGCATAATTTCAACCCTTAAATCTAGTGCGTCTATTGCTGAGTGTGTAAGGCTCAGCATTGGTCTATTGCATGTTCTTATCTTATCGCAGAGTTTGTAAGGCTCCGCGTGGTTCTATTATCTATTCTTATCCTATCGCTGAGGTTGTAAGGCTCAGCGTTCGTCTCTTACATATCTGACTCTGGGTTGCAAGGGTTGGTGTCCATTTGTCTATTTATACAGTCCGTACATGTGACCCTTATCTTTTCCCAGCGCACTACATGCTAGTCGTTGAGTGCGTCGGAGGCATGTATACGATCTTCGTATATTCATATGTTCCCATACTTATCATATTTCTATGTTCATGCATGTGCATGAACATTCTGCGGGGGCCAGAGAAAGTAATAACTGACAATTCCTGTCCCTGGTTTCTTCTCTTACTTGTGTACATGAGAAATAGAGATATGATAATTATTGATAATCTTGACGAAATGTCCATGCTTGCAATCCTTGAGGTCTCATGTTCGTACTTGAACATTCTGTGGGGCCCAGAGAATGTGACATCCAGATGAACCTTACTTTGGTCCTTTGCTCAGGTGGCGGTTCCCATGCCAAGTGAAGTCTTGCCTTTTTGAAGAACTTCTGCGGCTTATAGGTGTCATCGTTTGTTGCATTAATACAGCTGATTGCATCTGTTGAGGAAGTTGTCGATCGCTTCATTATTGCTGAGGCCAAAGCCTCCAAGTGATAGACGTCCTTCTGTTGATTCTGATGCCTTATTGTGCCCATTGTTTCGTTTGTAGTGGTTATTGTTGTTTCCTTTAATATGTTGCTGCTACTTCCAATTGACTCCTTTTCTGATGTAATTGTACTTGCAGCTTTAGTTTCCATTGTTGGTGGCGCTGCTGTGGTCATCACTGAAGAGTTTGAGTCGGTATTGTCGCTTTTCTCTTCAGCTGCACTTCCAGTCGCTGTTGCAGTCTCCGCAGAAGTTTGCTCTTCCGTCGTGCTGCCAACTGTGGAAATATCATCCATTGGTCGAACTTCCAATTGGATATCTGTTGATGTATCTTCAGTGATACTCAACGTTGATGTCGAAGTTGTGGCAGAAATTCCATTCTCGTCCGCATCTTCTATGTGCTCCGGATCCTTTGTCGGAGTTGGTGGAGCCCAGATCTTTTTTATCGATCTCTTGTCTTCACCTATATTTGGTTTTGTTGTTACCACTTGAACCTTATTACGTTGTTCAGTAGCTTTATTTATATTTCCTCCCACGTGGAGGCTTGCCGGCGGGTTGTAATCCCACTTTTTGAACACTATTGCATCCAAAGCAGCCTGATATGCGGTCATCTCATCAGCTGTGACGTTGTCACTGTTATCAGGGGTGCTCACGCAATTGCGGATACTGCCTTCATCGTTATCCTTCAGCAGTTCCATGTCCACAGGCAAATAACGTTTGTAGCGTTTGCATAAATAGTCCCACGCTGAATTGTAGTTACCCACTCCAATTGAGAAATGGCTTATAACTCGTTGACCTTCTCCTTTGAGATACATTTTGAGGTATATCAGTTTCGTCTTGTCGCTGATATCCTTTCTGTTGTGAATTATTTTGGTGAACTGCTCGAAGAACGTTGGCCACGCCTTAGGACTTCCATTAAAGTAAGGAAGTGTCGGTTTCGGTCGCTTTGGAGTGTCTTCTTTTACGATTTGCAGTGCACTTATTTTCCTTTCCAGTTTTTTCGACACTGTGTACACTTTGAGTTCCAGTTCGTCTATGTACTCGATTTCGAAGGCAGGCCTTTCATATTTTACCTCCAAATCTTTCAGTGTTGACTGGACTTTCTTCCAGAGGAAATCTAGCGTATCTTTGTAGCTAACGATTTCATCCTGGTTGCTGAGCTCAATGTTGGCCAGCACCTCTTCAATGTGCAGCCGTACTCTTTGAGCTCTTTCGTCCACAAGGCTTACCAACTTCTCTATTGGGCTCGACCAACCAAATGAAAACATCTCTTGCTTTGATGTTTCTGGTCTCGTTTCCCAACTATAAAGTTGTTTTGTGTCTATGGCGTGGTCGGCAACTTCGACTTTCATGAACTCTTTATTGGTTCTGATTTCTGCCATTATGCCACCATATTTCTCTTTAAATATTGATGGTTGGCGACACAGTTGTTTGTTTATTGTAGATCCATTGGCTTATCCCGTTGGAGGTTTTTTTGTTTTGATCACCAGGTTGATCTTGCTGTGCCTCGACTCACAGCTTGGGTTGGAAAGCCAATGCACAAATCTATAATACTAGCACTTCACTTTGTACTAATCACAAACATTTTTCCTTGTGGATGAATTTGAAGTATTAAAAATACTTCATCCGGCTCGAAGGACCATGAACGAATACACTTTACTTTGTTGGTGTTTAGTATCGTATTGATCTTTATTCTTCTGAGCCTGGGTTTATATACCCAGACTCATGCATAATTTCAACCCTTAAATCTAGTGCGTCTATTGCTGAGTGTGTAAGGCTCAGCATTGGTCTATTGCATGTTCTTATCTTATCGCAGAGTTTGTAAGGCTCCGCGTGGTTCTATTATCTATTCTTATCCTATCGCTGAGGTTGTAAGGCTCAGCGTTCGTCTCTTACATATCTGACTCTGGGTTGCAAGGGTTGGTGTCCATTTGTCTATTTATACAGTCCGTACATGTGACCCTTATCTTTTCCCAGCGCACTACATGCTAGTCGTTGAGTGCGTCGGAGGCATGTATACGATCTTCGTATATTCATATGTTCCCATACTTATCATATTTCTATGTTCATGCATGTGCATGAACACTAGGTAGATAGATTAATTCTGAATACTGCCAAGTAGATACCACCTGATAAGCTGAGGATGTGAAATATATATTATTATATATATAGATTAGATCTTAGTTATAGCTGCAAGTAAAAAATTTAATACAAAAATTAAGGTATATGTTGAATAAATACTACATATATGCAAGAAAAATACCAAGCAGATACTAAATATATGTATACTAAAATCAAATCAGAGTGATAATAGAAACATTTTATATACAATCGAGTTTCGATAATTTGTACCCCGCTAAACCGAAAATCGCCATAAATCGAAAGAAATGTTATCCCCTTGATAAAAATTCGTTCTCGATAAATCTCGATAGTTTGATTTTCTGTGTAAGTCATAAAAAAATGACTTAGCCAATTTGAATTATCGGGACTCGATGTATATACAAGATATATACTAGATGCAGAATAAGTACAGGATATATACTAAATCGATATACGACAAATATATATACCAGATAGATGTAGATACAACATAGATATGAAATATATACTAGATATACACTATATTTAACAAATGTTGTTTATATATTGGGTATACGCTAGACAAATACTAAATAGATGCAAGATACTTTGAGTTCAATTTCTTACTTGATTTATCTCTAAATAAGACCGTCTTCTATCATGTAGAAGTTTTCTTATGGCCAAGTTTATCTGTGGCTCTTAATTGCTAAAACTAGACCATACCCTTTTCCTTTAGATTTGGATCTATACAGTTTGTATTATCAGTGCAAAAACTAGAATATACCTTTCTCATATACCCAATGATGGATGATAGCGAAAACTCAAATTATCATCTGCTTGAACTAGAATCTACCTTTCTCATATACCCAGTGATGGATGGTAGCGAAAACTCAAATTATCATCTGCTTGATCTCTCAACTTGCACAGATCCAACGAGGCCAAGACGCTGGAGAGCAAGAAGCGTGTGGTGAAGATGCTGTTCGTGCTGGTGCTGGAGTTCTTCATCTGCTGGACGCCGCTGTATGTGATCAACACGCTGAGCATGTTCATCGGGCAGGCGCTGTACGAGTACATTGACTACACCACGATCAGTTTTCTGCAGCTGCTGGCCTACTCCTCCAGCTGCTGCAATCCGATTACCTATTGCTTCATGAACGCCAGCTTCCGGCGCGCCTTTGTTGACACCTTCAAGGGATTGCCGTGGAAGCGCGCCGGCACGGCGGGCGGCCAGCTGTCGGCCAGCCAAGCGAATGCCAATCCCGGCCTGGTCATGGGCCTGGACACCTGGCGCACACGATCGCGCCACGATCAGCAGGTGAACTCGGTGGTCTATACGAACAGTGCCGTTGCTGCCGACAGTCCGCAGCTCTAAGGATCTCTCTGCTGGGATCGGACGCACGTTTGGGATTAGTTGTCTATCTAACTACTAGATATATATATATTTGTATATATATATATATATATTGCGTGTAAATATGTAAATGTCGCTTGGGTTTTTTTTTTTTTTGGTAGCTTTTATTTTTACATAACAATTTAATAACTAAGTATTTTCGATGTTTCAATTACATAAAATTCCTAAGGGTTCCAACAATAAATAATAAAAATCAAACTAATAAAATACCAACAAATGGATCGTTAAATATGCGAGCACAATGCGGGCCTTTTGTTTGGTCAAAAACCAGATCCTGCGTGCCCAATACTTTATTTGATGGATGGTGGGCAGGCGTAGAGTCCGGGCCTCCACATAAGGACGTGATGCGATTGCGTTATAGTTATAGTTGTTGTTTTGGTTGTAGTTATAGTTATAGTTATAGTTACTGTTATAGCTGTAGTTATAGTCATAGCCAAAGTTACGGTGTCGGTTATAGTTATAGTTATCGTCGAGGTTATAGCTATAGTTATAGTTCGGGGAATACCAGCGGTCTATGGTCTGATTATGCTCATACAGGCGGAGATGCGGATCGACGCGTGTAAAGTAAGGATCGTTGGACATTAGCAATCTGCCTACATCGAAGTAAGTTATATTGCTGGCATATTCGCAATCGTAGTCAAAGTCAATATCATCATCATCAATATCATCATCAATATCATCATCATCATCATCATCATCATCATCATCATCATCATCATCATCATCGTCGTCGTCGTCGTCGTCAGTGTCGTCAGCGTCGCCATCACCTCCTCCTTCCTCGCCCTCATCGCGATCATGTCCGTGCTCATCGCTATCATTATCATTATTATCATTGTCATTACTAGCACTATCACTAGCATTATCATCATCACTAGCATTATCATTAGCATTATCATTAGCATGATCACTAGCATTTGCATTATCACTAGTATGCTCATTATCATTAGCAATCCAATTATTGTCCTCATCGGAGTCACGTTCAGATAGAGGCGTGATTTTTAACTTATGTACATATTGCACACGGAGCCTCTTCATCTCCGACTTTTTCATCAGCTCACATTTGAGAACCACGATCTCGCCGAGGAAGGAGATACGTCGATTTTTAAGGGTCAGGGCACGCAGTGTGTCGCGCGGATCCTTATAGAGCACGTAGAACGCTCTGTCGGTGACGACGCGCATTGTCTCCAGCGTGCCCACCTGGGTGAAGAAGTAATAGACGACGTGATATAGATGATCCGGCACATTGGACACACGCACATAGCGACCAGCCACGCGCATCAGATGTTCCGTGTGGTATTGACGGTAAGCTCTTAGTTTTGGAAGTGTGTTCAGTTTGGGTAAATGCTTCTTGATAAGCTCCTCTTCCTCCTCATTTTCCTCATCATCCTCTTTTTCACTCTTGTCCCCCTTTTCCTCCTTCTCTGCCCTTTCCGCCTCCTCTTTATCCTCATTATCATAATTATCCTCATTATCCTCGTTATCCTCATTATCCTCGTTTTCCTGCTTTTCCTCCCCTTCTTCCTCCTCCACCTTCTCTTCTTCCTCTTCCTCGCCAGTTTCGTTCTCCACGTCCTCCTGGTAGTAATTGTCTTCGGGCTGCAGAGTGGCCTTAAATACATTTGAAATTAATCGCTCCACCCTCGGCCTACGCTTGGCACTCATAAAGATCTCATCAATCGGTCCACCAAGGAACGGCGGAAGATAATGATCATTGGGATGATCTTCAATCCAGCGCTCTTCAAAGGTGTACAAATTCATTTTGGATAGAATACGGTCGCTTGGTATATATAAATAACTATATATATATAAATGTATATGCGCTATTTATGAATTTGGAAAATTTACTTTTTATTTTTTTACTTTTTTTTTGTTTTTTTTTATGAACTAACTTGAACTGTTGCTCCAGTGAAAATGAATAAATTTCCGAAATGATAAAGGCAATAGCCACAAAAATGGTGAAAGGCTGACTCGATTGTTTATTTATTTACAAAAATGATATACAAGGTTTCACTTACATATCATAAATTTACGAAGTGTGTGAACGTGGAGCTCTCAGAAGCTATAAGAGCTAGAGGCTTCAAATCTTTGTTGTAGATCTTTGTATAGCATCCGTCGATCGAATTTGTTTTAGAAAGTCTATAGCTATTTCGAGTTTAATGTTATTGATAAGAGACCTGCGTGCTCAGCCGTCCCGTCTGTTTGTCGACTTTTCCGACAAAAGTATATAAATTAGATTATACTTTTATTCTATTATAATTTCACTCTAAGGAAAAAGTCCCGCAAATGATCGAGACGTATGAAAATATTTGCTTAAGATTAATTCAGGCAAATCTTCTTGAAATATAATTCGAGGAAAACATCTCGACTGTCCTACCAGCAGCTGGAATAGATTATAAAATTCATGTTAACTACACTTGACAGAGTGACAATGTACATGCAAAATTTCTGTAAGGCCTAGATAATGGGTAGATGAGTGCCTGTTGCTGTTGTATTAAGCCATTGTTGCTGTTAATTAAGAAGTACTCCTGGGCCACGAATAGTGTTGACAGGGAATGCTGGCAAAGCTGTTTGTCTTGTGCCAAATTCAGTTGCTTAAAATACAGCAAACAGGGATGCAGAGAGAGAGGGAGAAGGAGTGTGGGTAGGAGAGGGAGAGGGAGAGAGTGGCAGAGCCTGCTGTGGCTCTTTTTTGTCGCCAGAGTTGCTTTTAGTGGACGAGTGCCGAGCCTTTGCTCCCGGCTCGAATGCAACTACCCAAATGGCCATCTCAGACGTGGCCCGGTTGACCGGGCCAACCCTTGTCCGGGCCGGGCCGTAAGCGGCTTGGGCTCGACGTTGAGCTTGCAATTAAAATGTTCATTTCGGCTGCATCAATTATAAAAAATAATAAAAAAAAAACAAAAAAACACACACACACACACCGGAAAATGAAAGATGAAAAAATGAAAAATGTGAGCACAAGCAAATAGGGGGCACCAAGCACTCTGGGCGGCCGGACATTCGGCTAAGACTTTTGAAAGCAATTTAAGCTGCTTTGCACATTGTGCCATTAAGATAAAATACGTTAATTTCCGCATCGAACTGAAATGTCATCGAGCAAAGTCTCCTAACCAATTTTGGCTGCCTCAAACGAGCTGTGACAAATGCGCCTGGGGATCAATTTCAAATTAGAAAACCCGAACATGCTTCGACCCGCTGAAGAGCTAACAAAAGGTGAAGTCGAAAAACATCTCCAATGCGATTTCCCTGTGGACAAATTATGCTGACTTTATGCCACAAAATGAACTGAATAGAACAACTATTACCTATATACTACAATATTTCAGCAATAGAGCTCGAGTTGCTGTCAAACGCCTGCAGAAACACTTCATCTCACGTTACGTTCTCTGAGACTAATTCGAATGTTAAGTTGTGCGTTCGGTCCGCCGTGCTAAGTGCTTGACGGCTTATTGAAATCTATTGTTATGATATTGCCGGGGACAGGAGGGAGGAGGAAGAGCTTGTCAGTGTGGGCTAAATTACTTCACGTAACGTTACCTTGTGACGTGTTACGTTAAGATAGTTTTCGCTCAGTTACGTGTTTCACCTTACGCAAAATCGCTTTACAGTTATATTACTTTATATTATATTAACAGACGTTAAATTACGTACGAAATGTTGCATTACATTATGAACGTTACGTTAAGTTACCTAACTAAATGTTGCATTACGTTATGAACGTTACATTATCATAGGTTAAATTACATGACGGAGCGTTGCTTTACGTTACGATTGCATTGATTACGTTGCAAACGTAGCTATACGTTGTGTTATACTCACTCACCTCAAATTACGTAATAAAACATTATAACTCATTATCGCAATTTAAATTACGCAACAGAACGTTGCCTTACGTTATTTTATATTATCTAACGTTATATTACGTAATGCGTATTACGTTACGTTATATTAACACAAATTACTTTGCATTTTCTTATTTGAGTTTATGTTACGTTACGTCAGTTACTGAACGTTATATTGCGCTATCGTACGTTACGTTATTTTGTGTAGCTTAAATTACGTAACGTTAGATTTGATTACGTTCAATTGCAGAGCGTTACATTACGCAATTATGTATTACGTTATTTTTGTAGCTTGCGTTACGCAACGTTAGACTTATAATAGATTATGTTATGTTATATTATGTTGAATTTTCTCATGTTCCGTTATGGTATGCTTATAAAAATCTGCACTTTCTAAGTGTGAACAAAAAATATGCAAATGTTTGCTGGCTTCGAACCACTGTGCATTGCTGTTAATTTGCATGCAGCTGGATTGCAAATGCAAAGTGGTTCGCATTTTCATTCCATGCTGACGCCTGGCCAAGTTGAGCTGTCAACAATGCTCGGCACTCAGACAACTTGTGCTTGACGAGCACTGTTTGCCAGTTTGCTTATTACAGTCTCATTAATGAACCTGTTAGCGGGCTAAAAACAAGAGCAATTCACCTGCTTCAATTAAGTTATCCGCGTGGAATTTGCTTCAGATGAATCTCTGCTTCATCTCCAGCAACAATTGCAATCGCATCGCCTGCTGGACTAACAACATTCGTCTGCCAACTGTTAGCCTGTTAGCCTGGCTGAAAACTTAAGCAGGCCACACCAGACCGAATATAGATGACACCCAGCCAAGCTGTCAGGGAGATACTGAAATTTGCATTATATCATTTCTTTGTTATATCTGCAACATTTTTGTTTTTCTTGCCTTTGCATATGATGCGGATATCCAGACAGAGATGATGGCAGCTCAACCAGAGGGCTGCTCAGAAAGTTTCGATATATTTTTATTCATATTATCAGTAGATATTTAGGAAGATATAAAATAAAATTAAATTAAAAAAAAAAAATAAAATAAAAAATAAATAATAAATTATATGCTAACACGTCTGCATATTAAAAATATTATTTATTAAAATAAGTATTAATAGCTAAAAATTATTAGAAAATTTAAATATGTGAATAAATAAATAAATAAATTTTATTAAAAAAAAAAAACTAAATTTAATATACAATCTTATATGACTCTCAAATTCCAATTTTAAAATTCCCATTGTGTCAATAACTCTTCGTTTAGTCCTCTGTTAAGCCAAAAACTGGCTATCTACACACACACTCTCTACCACTATCTCCATCTCTCTCTCACTCTTAGTGTCTCTCGCTATCTCTTGCAAGCAG